TCACCAGTGTCTGCTTACAACTGTTCCTCTTCCTTTGTATTTCCATGCTTGAAAACTCAACCTCCTTTGCCATCTCTGTTATCTAAATGTTGTACATAATGTTTATAATGTACATAATTTAGTACATAATGTACTAAATGTTACTGCTGTGCATGAGATAATCTGGAGATTGTGCCTTTAAAAGAATTTTTCTATTTAAATTATCATGTGCATTGGCAACAAGTTACTAATACCTGTAGGATCCTTAGTGATGTATTCTTTTCAATTTCTATCTTGGTCTTTTATCACCTAGGAATTATTTGTGTATCACACTAAAAGGGCAGAGAAAGAGGAAAGGTGGAGGAACTCACAAGTGGTTGAGGAGTAGAGATGAAAGAGGAGCTTTTGAGAAAGAGATAGGCGTGAATGAGATAATGTAATATTTGATTAAGATCCAGAGGCTCCTTAGCAGAAAGACCTGGAGATGTTTCCTAAAGGTCACAGCCTAGGAAGCATACTCTATGAAGCACTTTTGCAACTCATGTGATCACCAGGAGCAACTAACTGGTTTATTTTAATTTTTGTTTTAGAGGCTTGTTCCAAGTGCTATGTGAGGGAACATGGCTGAAGACAGCTGGGGAAGTCTTCACGGAGAAGATGCCATTCAGAGGTCTTAAGAGATTTCACTGAGTACACAGGGAGAGCAGAGACTATGAAAAGGCATCAAGATGTGGGTGTACATGCATGGCAGAAGTGTTGAAAGGGTTCCATTAGGAGGGCTTTGAGCTTACAGGTGTGACTCCATAGCTGGGGCTCCCAAGGCATGGGGCATATGAGGACAGGTTACGAGTCCTTTCATCTGTCCCCTCCACTGATCCCTATGGGTGCCATGGCCTGTGTCTTTCCCTTGCTCCAGATGGTCCAGCAACCCAGGCTGCTGAAAGTATACAAGAAGTGGCTTTTTCCAGTCTCCTGCAGTTTCTTCTTCCTGCTCTCAGTGGTCATGACTGGCTGTTTCCTGTGGCAGTATCATCTCCCTAAGCTGAAAGCTAGTAAGTTTCTGCTCCTGGTTTTTTACTTGCCACTGCTTACCCAAGAAGTAGGAGAGGTCCGTAAGGTATAGATTCTGAAGCTCTGACCCCATCCTGGTTGTAAGTGTGCAGTACAGTCATGTGGTCTCTCCGTGCCTCAATGCCCTTGTGCTTGAAATGAGAATTTTAACATTAAAAGGTTTCCTTAAGCTGTCCAGCCTTGGAGTAAAATTCAGGGTCACAATAAAAATGCAAACAGTGCCTCTTTAGTTTAGCCATCAGCTTCCATGGTAATATCTTCATGCTCAACCTCCCTTCAAAAACTTCCTACCGCATATACCCTGTTATCCAGTATCCTCAGAGGAACGTGTCAGAGGTATCCATGGAGAACACCTGTCTCTTTATAGAGTGTCTCTTTCTTGGATGGGGCCCTAGTGATGCAATGATTAAGCACCTTGCTGCTAAATGAAAGTTTGGTAGTTCAAGTCCACCAAACAATGCTGTAGGAGAAATCCCTGGAAATTTGCTTCCATAAAGATTACAGCTGCAAAAGTCCTATGGGGCAGTTCTACTCTATCACATGGGGTTGTAACGAATTGACATCAATTCCACTATATTAACAATTTCCTGCACTGCTTAAAACCCTTCAAGAAGCCACATGGCTAGGATGTCTACTAAGCCCTCTGTTGCAATGGAACCAGTGAGACTGTCAATGGTCTGCAGTCCTGGGCAAAACTCGCCGGTTCATTATTATAGTCAACATCAGAGTCCCCTCTGCTGAAGTAGGGACAGTACCTCTCTTCAACATCCTATGTTACAGATGCCTCAGTATTCACCAAGGTGTGCTGGGCTCCAAAAATCACACAGATAACTTGAAGAAAGGGTTTCTTTTCTTTTCTTGCCAGCTCTCTCCTCTCCCTTTCCAACTATTTCTTTCTAGGGTAAATTCCTTTATCAGTGGCTTGTTGATGCTTCAAGTAGATAGACTGCAGGGGGGCAGGGTAGGCTGGCATATCCTATAAGCTTATGTTTCTCAAACTACTAAACCACCAACACATAGCTGACTGGTATTATCGTGTTGTTATGGGCTGTCAAGTCAGCTACAACTCACAGTGATCCTATGAGCAAGAGGTCTGGAACTTGCCCTCACCTGCGCCATCATCCTCACAATCTCTAACCTGTCATTGTGTCAATCCATCTTGTCAAGGGCCTTCCTCTATTTCACCGACCCTTCACTTCTTTTTTTTTTTTTTTAGCACGATGTCTTTTTCCAAGAACAGGGTCCTTCTGAGAGTATGCCCAAAGTGTGTGAGATGAAGTTTCACCATCCCTGTATCTAAGGATCATGATGGTTGTGCTTCTCTGGGACATATTTGTTTGTTCTTTTGGCAGTCCATGTGATAGAGTCAGTATTCTTCTCTAATGCCACAATTCAAAAGCATAGATTCTTCTTTGGTCTTCCTTATTCATTGTCCAACTTTCAGATGCAGAGGAAACAACTGGAAATACTTGGATCAGGCACACTTTAGAAATGGTTGTGTACTGTCAAGCCTGAACTGATTCATAGCTGACCCTCCTCCCCTCTGGTTTTCAGAGGCAGTGAATCACACTGGAAGAAACTTTCCATCTTTATCCTGTGAAGAAGCTGATGGATTTGAACTACATGCCTTTGGGTTGACAGCATAGCTCCTTACCAACGAGGCTACAAAAGCTGTTTAGTAATGAGTGTTGCCATTGGGTTGTATATGATCCATAGCAACCCTATGAACAATGGATCTGAACCCTGCCCTATCCTGTGCCATCCTCATCATCTCTGCCACAGTTGAGCTCATTGTTACACTCACTATGTCAATCCATCTTTTTAAAATTTATATTTTATTTGATTGTTTTCACAAAGATGAAAGATTTTTTTTAATAAAGGGAAAAAACCCTCCAGATTACTTTTACAAAGATGTTGTTGTTAGGTACTGTCTAATCATAGATAACTCATAGCCACCCTATGAACGAAAGGCCTGAGCACTGTTCATTCATAGAGTTTCTGGAGGCAAGCTATCATGGAAGAGGATGCCATTCCTGCTTCCAAGTTTGTTTTAATCAGGAAGCTCCCAAAGGGGGAGCTCTGGTGGCCTAGTGGCAAGAAGCCGCACTGCAATCCCAGAGGAACACGGTTCGAATCCACCAGATGCTCTGCCGGAGAAGGAGGCGCAATATCCTCCTGTACCAGTCAGATCTGATTTGACGGTACACGCACACAAAATAATAAAAAAAAAAAAAAAAAAAAAAAAAAAAAAAAAGGAAGCTCCAGCCAACATGGTCCGCCATGGGTACCCATTACCACATTCGGCACATCAGTGTCACAGTGTTCAGCATCACAGCAACCACAAGTTACCTCTGTACAGCAATGCACAGAGTAGTGCTTTACCACCATTACTTGCACACAAAGACATTAGTGGTTAAAAAATAAAGAAAAAGAAAAACAAAACAGAAATACCAAATATTGGGTAGTTGATTCTGACTCATTGCAATTCTCTATTAGGATTCCAAGGTGAAAAGATATCTGTTTTTCTTCTGCATAGCAACTGGGGGCCTCAAACTGTTGACCTTTGGATTAGCAGCCTAATACTGAACCTATTATGCTGCCAGGGCTCCTTATTATTTACTTGCACAAAAAATATTATACTTTAATTTGTATATTTATTTGTGCATTTGCTTATTTAATAATGCTTTGTCCCACTAGACTTAAAGGCAGTGATCATTATTAAAACAAATATTTAAGAATAATGGTGCAAAAAAAATTAATGGTGCATTTTGAAAATGTCAAATTGTATATATAACTGAATATTAGGACACTCAGGAAATGACAGGTAAATAAATTTGATAAGCAGGTAAGTACCAAATTATGAAGGACTTGTTTATACATTTGTGGGGAACTCTGGTGACCTAGCTGTATGTCAGTCCATCTTGTGGTTCTTCCCTCCTTCACTGATCCTACACTTTCCCATGATTGATGTCCTTTTCCAAGAACTGGCCCTTCCTAAAGTGTATGAGATGAAGTATCACCATACTTCCCTCTAAGGAGTAAACTGACGGCACCCTCTCCTAGACATATTTGCTTGTTCTCTTGACAGTCCATAGGATATTTAATATTCTTCTTCAGCACTACAAATCAAAGGCACTGCTTGTTCTGCCAACTTTATTCGCTGTCCAACTCTCACATACATAGCAAGTAACTAGAAAGATCCTGGCTTGGATCAGGCACACTGACATCTTTGCTCTTCAGCACTTTGGAGAGGTCTCTGACTATATAGACTTTCTTAATGTGACACTTTTTTTCATTTCCTGAATGATTGTTGACAAGACTTCTTCCAATCCTGATGCCACATTTTTCTTCAGCTTTTTGAATGATCTGCTCAGTATACATATTGATGAGGCATGGAGAAAGGATACAGTCCTGACACACACCTTTTTGATTTTAAATCATGCAGCGTTCTCTTGCTCTGTTTGGACAACAGCTTCTTGGTCTAGGTACAGATTTCATACGAGCACAATTAAGTGTTCTGAGATTCCCATTCTTCTCAGTATTTGCCATAATTTGCCAGGTCTACACAGTCAAATGTCTTTGCATACTGAATAAAACCTCTCATCTCTTCTATTTTTGAACCATGCAGTATTCGCTTGTGCTGTTTGAATAACTGCTTTTTGATCTATGTACAGGTCCTGCACGAGCACAATGAAGTGTTCTGACATTCTCATTCTTAACAATATTATCCACAATTTCTTATGACCCACATAGTTGAATGCCTTTGCATATTGAATAAAATACAGGCATTCTTCCTGGTATTCTGTTTTCAGACAGAACAATGCTCTTAGCATGCTCCATCATCACAGCTAGCCGTCATCCACATCATCTTCTAAATTCGGCTTGAATTTCTGGAATTTCCCTGTTCATGCACCTGATCCAGTAATTTAAAAAAATTCTCTTTAGCAAAGTTTTATTTGTGTGCGATATAAAAGATATTGTTTTATACCATCTGTGCTCTGTTGGATCATCTTTCTTTGGAATGGGCACAAATATCAATCTCTTCTAGTCAACTGGCCAGATAGCTATCTTCTAACTTTTCCAGCAGAGACGTGTTAGCACATCCAATGCTGCATCTGTTGGCTAAAATAGCTTAGCTGGTACCCGGTCAATTTCTGGAGCCTTGATTCTCACCAATGCCTTCAGTGCATCTTTGATGTCTTCCTTCAATACTATTGGTTCTGAATCATCAGTGCATATTAAAATGGTTGAGCATCACCCAATTCTTTTGGTACAGTGGCTCTATGTATTCCTTCTACCTTCTTTAGAAATTCTTTGCATAATCCAATATGTAATATGTTTAAAAGTTACCTAAAGAATCCTTTGGTATTGCAACTCATGGCCTGAAAATCTTCAGTTCTTTCAGCTTGGTAAATGCTGATTGTGCTCTTCTCTCTTGATTTTTAACTTCAGATCTTTGCACATTTTATTATAATAACTGTCTTCATGAGCTGCCCGTTGAAATATTATTATTATTATTTTATTTTTTTTGTGTGCATGTATGGTCAAATTGGATCTGACTGGTACAGGAAAAGACTGCCCCTCCTTCTCCAGCAGAGCAACTGGAGTACTCAAACTGCATACCTTTGGGATTGCAGTGCAGCTTCTTGCCACTAGGCCACCAGAGCTCCCCTTTGAAACCTTTCGTTCAATTCTATTATTTCATAATTTCTTCCTTTCACTGTAGGCTTCTTTATGTTCTACAGCAAGTTTCTGAGTCTCTTCTAACATCCACTTTTGTCTTTTCTTTCTAATGATCTTTTGCTTTCATCATGTATGATGTCCTTGGTGTCATTTTACAACTTATCTGGAGTTTTTGTTATGGGTTTATTTTTTTCTGCCATTAATGTTCAATGCATGAAATCTATCCTGAAATGGTCTCTGAGTTCACTTGGGATATACTCCAGGTCATAGTTTGACTCTCATGGACTTGTTTTCATTTTCTTCAATTTTAAGCTAAACTCACATATGTACAATTCATGGTGTAGTCTACAGTTGGTTCCTGGCCTTGCTCTGATGTAAGACATTAAACTTCCCCACAGATGTAATAAAATTGATTCCTTTGTTCTGGCAAAGTCTACATGTATAATGGAAGCAGCAGTGGGATCCACTTCTGAAATAGCTTGCCGCAGAAACTCTATGAACTTGGAGAAACAGTGAAAGTTATACAAGTGGTCAAGACTTTTGTTCATCGGGTTGTTATGAGTCATCTAGGACTCGATGGCACTAAATAACAACAATGAGAGAGCTCTGTTGGCCTAGTAACTAGAAAGTGATGCTACCAAGCCAAAGGGCCTGGTTTTAATTGTTTTTGTCAAACATTCTTTTAAGTGGTGTGTCCATTTGCTGTACAGAGGTGACTCATGGCTGCTGTGATGCTAAACACTGTGACACCATGTATAACAACATGTATAATGGCTTTTGTTTTTTAGAAAAGTTATTTATAATGAAGTCATTGGCTATACAAATGATATTTTATTATATCCTGCCTCATTTCTATTACCAAGGTCATATTTTCAAATGACCAGTTCGTGTTTCCAATTACCAATTATCATTAATGAATATTGATTACATGTTTGATCAATTTCAAACTACAGAAGTTGGTTGTTATTGTTAAGTCGTAGATGACCCATAGTGACCCTATGAATGAAAGATATGAACACTGTTGTATAACTATTATCATTTCTCTAAATTTATAGAGTTTCTAGAGGCAAGCTATTTTGGAAGAGGATGCCACTCCTGCTTCCAAGCTTGTTTTAATCTGGGAGTTCCACCAAACACTGTCCTCCATGGGTAACTATTATCACATGTGGCATATTGATGTCACAGTGTTTAGCATCACAGCAACCATGAGTTACCTACAGCAAATTGACCAGTGTTATACCACTTAGAAAAATGTTTGACCAAAACCAATTAAAGCCAGGCCCAGGGAACAACTACTTTTTTGAACATAAGGCCAAATCCAATCAGCTCACACCCAATTGTGCACAAAACAAAAAACAAGGAAATCTACACCCAAAAACCTCAATCAAAACAAGAAAGCACACCTTCCAGACAGCTCTATACATCTTCCCAAACTGGATACCAGCTGCAGAAGTTGGCAGAAATCCTCAATTTATTAATCTTTTACTGTAGTGGCTGGTATGTAAATTTGAATAATAGTTGTATGAACAAGTCTTTGTTATATGCATATGGATATTACATTATCAATAATAGTCTTGTACTTCAGCACCAACCTTGAATGTTCTCTTTTACAAAGAATGTGATACCATCTCTCTTCAATTGGTCATCCTAACATATGAAATCATGTAATTATCTGCCTCAAAATGATCAATAACAGTCCATTTTAGCTCACTAATGCCTGAGATTTCAATCCTTATGTGCTCTGTTTAATATTTTAAACTTCCAGTTTTCCTAGATTCAGACTTTGTGCATTCATAATTTTTACATTTGAGTATTAACAGGTAATGAACAGAACCCACCCCCAAATAGGAATATAGGGAGCAGTGGTGGCCTAGTGGCAAGAAGCTGCACTGCAATCCCGTAGGAGTGTGGTTCAAATACACCAGATGCTCCACTGGAGAAGGAGGGGTAATCTCCTTCTGTGCCAGTTGGATCTGACTTGACAGTACAGAACAAGAAAAAAAAATTAAGAACGCAAATAGGAATATAACCACAGGCATAGCAGCTCAGATTTTAAAAGATATATCTTAGGAGGACATAAGTCAAATAATGACAGTCATATTGTGAGGCCCGGTGTGGCCATGGATTTAGGAGAGGCACTATTCAACCTCCTGAACCATCCAAATACATAGAATAAGGGACAAGGGAGAGACACACAGACAGGTATGGCTAAGCCGACCCTCAAAAGCTGGCCCTTGTCAAATCTACTGACCACATGCAAGCTGGCAACTAGTTAGATGAGAGAAGGGAGCACAGAGACTACACAGTAGGGATTATGGCCTATCTGGCATCTTGAAGGCTAAGCAGTGGTGGCAATGGTGGTACTGTGCCTTCACCTTCCAGGCATACTCTGCCCTCTGCTCCTCAGTTTCTGCAGATAGTCTCTGTACTCTGACATCTCCCAGGTAAGGCCATTGCAGACCGAGGAAGACAGACCGAGGAAGTGGTTCTGGTCTTTGTTACCATCTCCCCCTTCTCCCCAGCTTGACTCCTAGACTTTTATCTGATCTCTGTCCGTCCTCCATTTAACATGCTTCTTCTAGGTTCCCTGGGGCCAGAAGTGACGTCTGCCCCTGTAAGGATGTGTCCTCAGCACCCTGAGCCTGTGCCCCTGGCCCACCCTCTCCCTGTGTTGAAGGAGGCCCTGGAGAAGGTCAGTGATGACCCAGGAGGGAACTGGGTATGTGGGGAATGAAGGGGGGAGCACTTTCTGTCACTGGGAGTGACTTTCATTCACACACTCACTCATTCAACTTATATTTTAAAGCAACTGCTCAGTGTTAGGCTCTGGGAATATGGTAGAAGAGGATCTTGTCCTGCCCTCAGAAATCTGTAGATTAGAAGTGAAGGGAGCTCTGGTGGCCTAATGTCAAGAAGCTGTGCTGCAATCCTGGAGGTGTGTGATTTGAATCCACCAGATGCTTTGCTGAAGAAAGAGGGACAATCTCATCCTGTACAAATCAGATCCAATTTGATGGTAAGCATACACAAAATAATAAAATAAAATTTAAAAAAGAGATTTCCTTAAAAAAAAGTGAAGGGGACAGTCAAGATGACAAATATTTATAGCACAGGAGATAGAGAAAGTGTAGGAGTTGAAGGGGGCAGAGGAACTGTACTTGAAGCCTGGGAAAACTGCAGAAGTAATCTGAGATGTGAACAATAGGAGGGATCTAGGTGATATAGGGAAGCGGGGAGGGAAGGTGTGCTCCAGGTAGAATAAAAGCAAAAAGCCCAGAGGCCTCAGGGAGTATGAGGCATGTACAGGGTATACCGAGACTCAGTCTGGTTGGAAGAGGTGGAGATGAGGAAAGGTGAGACAAGAGGAGGTGACCGAGCTGAGTCCCTTGCAGTATGATGCACACAATGCACATGGATAGTCATCACAACTTATGCCACTGAAGAATGCCATAACCCTTGAGGGAGGTGTCAGCCAGCGCAAGTCTGCACTGGTCAGATACCACTGACTGGGATAACTTACCTCAGGAGAGACACACACAAATGCCACACAATTGACATATGAAGAGTTGCTTGATGTGGAGGACATAGAACTATCATGAGTGAGACGGCAGACGGGGGAGAATGAATCTCACTATTCACTGCTGAGGGTGAACCACTGAGGAGAGATACAGCTCCTGTGTACAGATGCCTGAAAAGTTTTTATGAAGGAAAGCGAGCAGAAGGTGCCAGGTGGCTCCTAGGGGGTCATAGTAATAATGAAAAAGCAGTAATAACAACTGTAGCTGCCTTCTGCTGAGCACTAGTAGCTGTGCTAAGTCCTTTATGTGCATCAGTCTCTCCAACCACCACAGAAGAGGAGACTTACTAATCTGATCACGGAGGAGGCGAGTAAAAGGTTTGGAGAGGTGGAGTGGAAATGACAGGCAATCAGAGCTCAGGTCAGGGCCTGTAAAAACCACTTTGGGGTGGGGAGCAGATTGCCAGGCCTTTTCTCCTATGTAGTGGCTGGTGGGTTTGAACTGCCTTTTAGTTATTAGTGAAGCTCTTAATCATTATGCCACTGGAAATCTTTAGCTGTTGCTTTGATCACTATTGGTCATCCTTATAAATAATTAGACATTTTCAAAATAGTGAATTTCCAAACACTGGGGTTCAGATAGGACCTATTGGTGGCTTTCCTGGGAATTAAACAAGGGTTAGACTGGTTCAGTTGTTTTAACACGCTTCTTCCACTTTTTGCTTAGGAACTGTTTCTTCAAACAGAAATCTTACAATGAAACTTTATGTAGAAAACAGATGTAAAGGGAAATGCTATGATTCAATCTGGGGTGCAGGTCTGAGGGTCCTACTTCATGGGGCATGGTTTGCGAAGCCAAAGTCTGGAGACCCACTGGGCTCCCCTTGGAAGTTTGAGGAGGGGTGGAGGAGAATCAGGTAGCGCTGTGTGTATGGTGTGGTTGTGTGGTAGGGAGTGAGCCTATGTGCAGAATGACAAAATGCAAGGAGTATGGGTGGGTGAGGCCGGTCACAGCACCCACATTCTGAACTTCCTTCCCCTAAGGTGGATGGGATTCTGCGCCAGGCGATGTCTGCCCCAGGCATGGCTGCCATGTCTGCAGTTGTTATCCACAATGACACCGTGCTCTGGACGGGGAACTTTGGGAAGAAGAATGGCTCAGACCCAGCTTCTGGACCCCCAAATGAGTACACCATGTACCGGTCAGCTGGGCCCCTCTGGGATGCTGTGGAGGAGACGAGGGATGGAAGGAGGAAGTAGACTTAGCAGATATGGAAACTCAGGGAGAGAACCATAGCTGGGGGGCCCATGATGCCAGGGCTATTTATTGAATTCAACACAATCTTAAAAGATAAAGAGACTGAGGTCCAGGGAGGACCAATCATTACCCAACATGATTACCACAGGGGTAACAGGCCAGAAGGGACTCTTTTCTAGATAACCCTTTGCCCCAAATATCCCACATTAAACAACAGGCCCCATCATGTACTCCTGCCATAACAAGTTCCTGGGCCCTAGCCCCAAGGGCCCCTGCCAGTCAGCAGCAGTGGCAGAATCAGAGGCAGTGAAGCAGCTCAGGACATTCTGCTTCATGCTTAGATCTCCTCTTCTGGATGCTGCCTGCAGTGTCTTCAAAATTTTCAATACAACCTGCACATACTCCCTTCCAGAGATGCTAGCGGAATGTAGGATAGGGTGGGGGTGGTCAGAGGGAACTAGGAACTGGCATTAGAAGTACACTTACTCTACCCCAGGTACAAAGTCAATGCCACTTAGTAAGCATTTACTGATGACCAGATATGCTGCAAGCACTTTACACAACTTCATTTCCTCCTTTCTGCAAACTTTGAAACAGTTATCATTATTCCTGTATAGTTATTTTATAGATAACAAATTGGTAAGGTCTAGTATCTTGGCCACAGGGCTGCTGAGAGACACAAGAGTGATCCACACTCAGGTCTGTTCCAGAATGGGTAGTGTCTGATGAAAGACTTGGCACAGGGTAGGCGCTCAAGTGTTCAGCGCAACCTGAAGGCAGTTCTACAGGGGCTGAGTTCCTACCTGAGATGCTGGGTGAGGGTGGATTCTGGGCTTTCCTGGAACTCGAGGCAGAGAGAGGCACAGGATGGGAGGTGGTGCCTGCTGAAGACTCATTGGTTCTCGCTGTACAGGATCTCCAGCATCTCCAAGATCTTTCCAGTGCTCATGTTGTACCGCCTGTGGGAAGATGGAATTGTCTCCTCTTTAGATGACCCTCTGGAGCGGTATGCCAGTGCTTTCACCATTAAAAACCCACTGGGCATGGCATCAGCGTCCAAACAGCAGACCGTGATAGATGAGCTGGAAGAGGTTGGCCCAGTCCCAAGGCCTTCACCTGTGACCCTCCGAAGGATGGCCAGCCAGCTCTCAGGTGGGAGTCTCTGTTCTTATCCAGCCCTGTGTAAACCATTTCAGACGGGGGTTGGGGGGGGAGTGAGGAGCGGGTGCTCATCCAGCCAGGCCGAGCCCATTCCCAGACCTTCCTGAACTAACCACAATTTGCTCCTATGGGAGGTGAATGGTGGGTTAGAAGTAGAAAGATCTGAGACGGTAAAAGCAGAAGTGAATACTGGGAATTTAGATCTAGCAGGCAAATCAGCTAGGAGGTGATAATCAGGTTGACAGGTCAAGATCTGTTTAATAGATCAAGAGTAAATTAATATTAATAGACAATTCTACAATAAAGCCCTAACTATAAATAAAAAGAGCTCTGACAAATCAATATAAAGACCATCAACACAACAAGAAAAGGGCATTTTAGGGTAGACCCCATAAGATGAAATATAAATAGCTCTTAAAAAGATTTAAAAATATGAATAGATATAAAACCTTATTCACAATAAAATAAAACTGTCCCAAAAGATAATTAGTAAAATGTTTATGAGGATCAAAAAGGGGGAGGGTAGGAGCAGAGGAGTGAGGATGGGCAGGGGGAAATCATAGGGTCTCACAATTTGATGGGTGGAAGGAGGGATGGGCAAAGGAAATGGGGAAGATTTGATGGGGATCTGGAAAGACAGGGCATTGGTGGGCATAGTTCACTGTTGATTAATTTTATAAAATATAATGAATAGAAATGATTGTGTAAAACACAATGTGAATGAAGGATAGTGGAAAACATAATGTATACAAACTTTGTAAGCAACTCAATATAAAATAAAGATTTATTTTTAAATTGTTTTAAAATAAAACTTATCTCAAGATTCATTTCCCCCCTATCTGATAGGCAAAACTGAAAATGGGGAGCACAGAGTTGGAGAGACTAGGAAGAAATAGGCTCTCTTATACATTAGTGGTATAAGGAGCTCTGGGGCCTAGTGGTAAGAAGCTGAGCTGCAATGCCAAAGTCATGCGGTTTAAATCCACCAGCTGCTCTGTGGGAAAAGGATGGGCATTCTCCTCTTATGTGATGAAACTACCTCTGGAAACCCACTGGAGGGTCAGCTATGAGTCTGTTCCACCTCAACGGCACACAACAACAACAACAACATACATCGTTGATGCGAATTTACGTTTGTATTATATGTTTAGAGAGCAATAAGGAACATCTACTACATTTTCCAATCATTAGGGTCTGTTTGCAACGTTCCTTCTCCTTTGCGATTTCCAACATGAAGGATCAGCCTCCAGTGCCACATCTGCTAATCTAATCTAAGTGTGCTCTGTTGTACATAGGGTTTTAGAAGGCCTGTTATTTCAGAAGTGGATGGCCAATCCTTCTCCCTAGTCTGTCTTAATTTGGGTGCACAGCTTTAGAGCAATATTTGACAGATGAGCATTTTACCCAAAAGAGCTTATGAGAGTAGGCAGGTAGGTAGGATCAGGTATTGGTCTGGGAGCCCACCCCTTCGGCACATGTGTTTTGTTTCCACCCTCAATCTGCCGTGCTAGCACCTAGCTCAATTCCATCTCTTTGTTCCTCTGGCACCTCATGTCTCCCCCAGCTTAACATATCAGGCCTCCTACCCCCTCTCTGAACTCACTCAGCATTTCTTAAGTTGAAGGAACTGAAGAAAAAATTCAAGTCTTGAGTTGCAATACTTAAGGATGCTGTGGGCAGAATGCTGAATGATCCAGGAAACATTCAAAGATGATGGAAATAAGATTATGAAATGTACCACCACTCTGGAAGGTAATTTGGTGCTTCCTCAAAAAAGCTGAACACAGAAATTCCATATGACCCAGCAGTTCCACTGCTTGGAATATACCCTGAGAGGATAAGAACTGAGGCACAAGCGGAGACTTACACACCAATGTTCATAGCAGCGTTATTTACCATTGCAAGAACATGGAACCAGACCAAATGTCCAACCACAATCAAATGCATTGAAAAATTAGGGTACATTCACATGATGGATTACAACGCAGAATGCAGGAGCAGTGATTTTTTAAAAAATAATTTTAATGAACATTTACAGAGAATTTGGATTTCCATTCATTCATTGCTGCACTTCTCTACCAGCCCAGCAGGAGCAGTGATTTTATAACTTATTACCTAACTTGGGAGGGATTGGAGAACATTATGCTAAGTGAACTAATTCAGTCCCATAAGGAAGATCCAAGTGGGAGGAGGGTAGAAACAGAGGGTGAGGATGGGCCGAGGGGAGAGCATATTAATCAGAGGGTTGCACAATTTTATGGCAAGGGAAGGTGAAGGAAATGGGAAAGATCCAGTGTGAAAAACAATACATGAACTTTGCAAATAAACCAGTACAAAATAATAATAAATAAATAAGATGAAAGGAGTACACAGAGTCACAATACAAAAAAGAATTGGTTGACACAGGAAGAATTTCATGAAACAACATATGATCAAGAGTCTGTGGTGATGAAGAAGAAAGTTCAAGCTGCTTTACCAGTTGATATATTTCAACAAGCAGGTATTGCCCTGGATATACTCACCAAGTTTTATCAAAGATATCTGGAGGACAACCACCTGGCCAACTGACTGGAAGAGACCCATATTTGTTCCCATTCCAAAAAAAGGTGACCCAACAGAGTGTGGAAATTATCGAACAAGAACTGAAGTCCGAAAATCAAAAGGGCTGTACTTGCTTGGCATTTCTTAAGCTGAAGGAACTAAAGAACAAATTTAAGTCTCAAGTTATAATATTTAAGGATGCTATGGATCTTGGCTGAAAGCAGAGAATACCAGAGGAATGTATATCTGTGTTTCATTGACTATGCAAAGGTGTTTGACTGTGTGGATCATAACAAACTGTGGCTGGCTCTGAGAAGAATGGGAATCCCAGAACACTTGATGGTGCTAATGAGAAACCTATACTTGGACCAAGAGACAGTCATCAGAACAGAGCAAGGAAACACTGCATGGTTCAAAATTGGGAAGGGCGTACACCAGGGATGTGTCCTGTTTCTATACCTTTTCAACCTGTATGCAGAACAGATTATCCAGGAGGCTGGGCTCTATGAGGAGGATTGTGGGGTCAAGATTGGTGGAAGATCTACCAACAATCTGCAATATGCAGATGACACAACCCTGCTTGTGGAAAGTGAGGAGGACTTGAAGTGCTTGTGTCAGAAGGTCAAGGACTGTAGCCTCCAATATGGCTTGAGGCTCAATGTCAAGAAGACAAAGATTCTCACCACTGGCCAATTGGCAGCATCAGGTTGGATGGTGAAGAGACTGAGATTGTTCACAGCTTTAGTTTGCTTGGCTCCACAGTCAACACTCTTGGCACCAGTATCCAGGAAATGAAAAGATGTATTGTGATGGGAAA